TGTGTTAGGTGTCATAGAGTTTTTGTGAATATCTAGGTTACAGTGATTTTAGTGATTGAATGGTGAGAATGAGAAATGCATTTGTGGAATGTGAAATGTGATTTTTGTGTGTGTTCAAAGAGGTGTGTTGGGATAACGGTGAGTGGATGAAGAAATGCAGATGAAGATGGAGGGGTAATGGGGAGGGATGAATTATAATTTAAAGACATAAGGGATATATTTACTGAAAATATAGGTAATGAGTGAATATTTTAAAAAGAAATTATAGAATTAAAAGTATGATATATTGGAAAAAATGGAGGGTGTTAATACATGTCGCAATAGTTGGGTATGAGAATAGTTTGATGCGAGTATAATATACAATTTACTGTGGAAACAAGTGAGATGGTATGGAGAAGGATTTTATTGAGAATTTTAGTAAATGTAAAGAGGAATGTGTATTAACATTTAAGAATTCTGTAAAAATAGATGTGAAAAAAATGTGAATAAATGAAATATGAGGGTTTTGGGAATGTAGTCAACTAGAGATACCATAAAAGATGATATAATGGGTTGTTTTTGTACTTTTTCTGATGAAATAGTTAAAACGAGAAAAAAAAATGTGGTTTGTTGTTGTGGTGTTTGTGGGTTGTGGTGTTGTCAGTCTGGTTTCATGTCTTCTGTAGTCAGAAGGTAAATGATTCTGCGACAACTTAGGTAAAGAACACAAATGAATAAACTTGGCCACTTTATTGAAGGACTTTTATTGTGATCGTAAATAATAAGCTAAGAGACGGATACAATCTCATAAAGGTGATTCTAAGTAAGCATTCTTGCCCACTTTTCCTCAAGTTCATTTCTTTTTCTAGTGTCAACAATACATGGGTTAATAGACTGAAAAATTGCCAATATGTTGTTTGTGCTTGGCCGCACCCTCGTTGTTGGAGCATCCCTTAGCAGGATACCACTCATAGTTTTCCATCACCAGTCTCTGTAACACGTAGTGAATTTATCACTCCGTAAACACCTTCACATTTAACATCAATAATTTCGATGATTTGTAATGTTAGTTTCTGGCTAAGACCGTTGTTTAGCGATCTTTCTCCTGAAGTCTGCAATTCCTCAAGCACAAAACTTAAAGATTGCAGATTCCCTGCTGAAACAAAACCTTTATGATAATATAGATCTTTTGGAACGAAGATTTAATCCTATTTAATGTATATTTTTGTTTCAAGTACAGACATAATAGAATATTGAGCACTCCCACTATTTTGCAACGACTGATAACCACATCATTCAAAATACTCAGAACTCGCCACATGATTCCCTCGTCCACTTGTATCTCTTCCACTTGGAACATCACAATAATCCCTGTGATTTACTTCGAACCCTACCCATACATTTCAGACAAACAGGAAGAGAAAGATGAAATTCAAGTAACCTATTCCTTCATTATGAGGATATATTCATATTATTATTAGATGCATGGGTAAGCGCTAAAACCCTTAGGGGGTCACAACACAGCACCTAGGGGAATGAGAGGCGTCCGGCTCGATTCAAGAAAAGGAAGAGGATATTTAATTCTTGAGTCAGAGCCCCTCGCCAGCAATCCAAGTCACTTGCTTGAGGAACAGGAGACTCTGGAGTGGCGGTCCACTATGAAAGGCAGCTGTTGTTTTCTCTTAGACTAATAAGAAACCCTCCAAAGGTCCCACACCAGGTCCTTGATGCCAGTGAGGGACTCTTGATCCAAAGTGAACCTGTCCTCCAACTTCATTGATCGCATCTGATGTCTCCATATCCCCATGCGCTGAAATGACCTTGGATTAATATATAGATAACAATGCCCGCAAGTCCACTGCAACAGTCCTCGGTGCCTGTGCTATAGCTCCCGCTTCACACACGGAGGGCCCGGTTTTCGATTCCCGGCGGGTGAACATTTTCGACATCCACGTTTCCTACACTGTGTCCTGTTCACCTAGCAGCAAATAGTACCTGGTGTTAGTCCCGACTGGTGTGGGTCGCATCCAGTGGACAAATTAGGACCCCAATGAAATAAGTTAGACAATTCCCTCGAGAATGCAGCTGACTTTCTTGGGTTATCCTGGGTGGCTAACCCCCCGTGGTTAAAAAACCGAAGAAAATTTATCATAATCTTCCTGTCAGTGGAATTTCCTCATAGTTTGTACCAGTCCATTGATAATCACATTAATGTTACATTAATCCTCTTCGAAGTTTTGTACCACATCATTATACTAACCACCATATTTATGTTACATGTAAGTGCTGCTTGCCCCATGATCAGTAGCTTCCTATACTGTCAATATTATATAATAAATTATTTTGTGACCCCTCACATCATCTGTATATTATTTCCCCATAATAATTTTCCCGATTATGTAGTGGAGATAAGTGGTATAGAAGTGTTCTATCAACACAAAGGGACCGTGATCAGCAGATTCTATTATCCCCTGAAGCCTACATTCAGTCAGTCCCTTAGTACGGCAGAGGTCCATGCAGCGTACTCAGTATTAGCATTCAGTAACCCACAGCCACTTGATTCCCTCGTACACTTGCATCACCACTTGAAGCAACATCACGTACCCCAGTGACGTTGCTGTTCAACCTAACTCAACCCGGTATGACTTTCCCCGGCATTAAAATGAAATCCGCTTTGAACGCAAGTATAATTCATACGTTTTGCGCTGTAACTTCCTTACTTTTGAACTGTAAGATCCTCATACTTTTTGATCTGTAAGATCCCCTATTACTTTTGGAGATCTGTAGAACTCCCGTTTACTTTTTTGATCTGTAAGATCCCCATACTTTTGATCTGTAAGATCCCATACTTTTGATCTGTAAGATCACCATACTTTTGATCTGTAAGATCCCCATACTTTTGATCTGTAAGAACCCCCATACTTTTGATCTGTAAGATCCCCATACTTTTGATCTGTAAGATCCCCATACTTGTGATCTGTAAGATCCCCATACTTTTGATCTGTAAGATCCCATACTTTTGATCTGTAAGATCACCATACTTTTGATCTGTAGATCCCCATACTTTGATCTGTAAGATCCCATACCTTTGATCTGTAAAGATCACCATACTTTTGATCTGTAAGATCACCATACTTTTGATCTGTAAGATCCCCATACTTTTGATCTGTAAGATCACCATACTTTTGATCTGTAAGATCACCATACTTTTGATCTGTAAGATCCCCATACTTTGATCTGTTAAAGATCCCATACTTGTTGATCTGTAAGATCCCATTACTTTTGATCTGTAGATCCCCATTACTTTTGTCTGTAAGATCACCATTACTTTAGAATCTGTAAGATCACCAACTTTTTGACCTGTAAGATCACCATGACTTTTATCTGTAAGAACCCCCGCAACGTAATTATACTGTAAAGATCCCCATACCTTTGATCTGTAATTATCACCATACTTATGATCTGTATAGAACCCCCATAATTTTGAACTGTAGATCCCCAAAACTTGTGAACAGTAAGATCCCCATACTTTTTGATTCAGTAAAAGATTCACCATACTTTTGATCGTAACGATCCCCATACTTTGTGATCAGTAAGATACCCCATACTTATTGTATCAGTAAAATCACCATACATTTGAACTGTAAGATCAACATACTTTATGAACTTTAAGATCACCATACTTTTGACTGAAAGATCCCAATACTTGTGATCTGTAAGAATTCCCAACTTTTGATCTGTACGAACACCATACTTTTGGAATCTTTGAGAGATCACCATACTTTTGATCTGTAAGATCCCCATACTTTTGATCTGTAAGATCCCCATACTTTTGATCTGTAAGATCACCATGAAGACTTTTGATCTTTAAGATGCAACATACTTTGATCTAAAGATTCCCATACTTTTTGATCTGTAAGATTCACCATACTTGTGATCAGTAAGGTATTATCCCATACTTTTAGATCTGTAAGATCACCATACTTTTGATCTGTAAGATCACCATACTTTTGATCTGTAAGATCCCCATACTTTTGATCTGTAAGATCCCCATACTTTTGATCTGTAAGATCCCCATACTTTTGATCTGTAAGATAACCTACATTTGATCTGTAAGATTCCCATACTTTTGATCTGTAAGATCACCATACTTTTGATCTGTAAGATCACCATACTTTTGATCTGTAAGATCCCCATACTTTTGATCTGTAAGATCCCTATACTTTTTGATCTGTAAGAGTCACCATACTTTTGATCTGTAAAGCTCACCATACTTATTGATCTGTAAGATCCCCATACTTGTGATCTGTAAGTTCCCCAATACTTTGATCTGTAAGACACCATCTACTTTTGATCTGTAGATCACCATACTTTTGATCTAGTAAGATCACCTATACTTTTGATCTTAAGATCCTCATACTTTTGAATCTGTAAGATCTCCCATACTTTGATCTGTAAGATCCCTATACTTTTGATCACTGTAAATCACCCTAATTTGATCTGTACGATCACCATAACTTTTGATACTTAAAAGATTCCCCATACTTTTAGATACTGTAAGATTACATACATTTGATGTGTAAGATCACCATCCTGGTTTGATCTGTAAGATCACCATACTTTTGATCTGTAAGATCACCATACTTTTGATCTGTAAGATCACCATACTTTTGATCTGTAAGATCACCATACTTTTGATCTGTAAGATCACCTACTTTGATCTGGAAGATCCCACATACTTTTGATCTTAAGATCACCATACATTTGATCTGTAAGATCAACATACTTTGATTCTGTAAGATACCAAAAACATTTTGCGATCTTAAGATCACCAACTTTTGATCTGTAAGATCACCATACTTTTGATCTGTAAGATCCCCATACTTTTGATCTGTAAGATCACCATACTTTTGATCTGTAAGATCCCCATACTTTTGATCTGTAAGATCACCATCCATTTGATCGTAAGAAATCCCTATCCTTTTGATTCTGTAAGATCACCATTACTTGATCTTGTAAGATCACACCATACTTTTATCTGTAAGATCCTCCATATACTTTTGTGATCTTAAGATTAACCATACATTTGATGGTAAGAGATCACCATACTTTTGATCTGTAAGATCAACATACTTTTGATCTGTAAGATCACCATACTTTTGATCTGTAAGATCACCATACTTTTGATCTGTAAGATCCCCATACTTTTGATCTGTAAGATCACCATACTTTGATCTTAAAGATCCCCCCCAAAAAATACTTTGATCTGTAAGATCACCATACTTTTGATCTGTAGATCCCCATACTTTTGATCTGTAATCTCACGCCAGTAACATTTGATCTGTAAGATCCCCATACTTTTGATCTGTAAGATCCCCATACCTTTGAACTGTATGAGCCATACACCGCAAAGTATGAAGGTCACTCTGTGCTGCTCAATTCTGGACGCAATTTTACAATCACATTTACAGTTGTTTAAATTATGTTAAGTGCTCAACCCATTTAGGTTATTCATCTGCCTGCTGAGTACGAGACAGATGCGCTTCCTATTGGTACTCACCTTTATGTGTGTGGGGCTGTGGGCGGTTAGTAAATTATTGTATTTTATAAGTCTAAGCAGTGACTCGCCAATTTACAGGTTAATTGTAAATAATATTATTACAATAAAATCGAGTTGTGTTAAATATTTATTTTCACGAAATTCAATGAATTCAATCAAAATTAATATATGTACAAGTAACAGAAATGCAACAAAAAAAATCGTCGAAAAAAAGTGGAAAAAAAAGTCCATGATTATGTTACCTTTCATAACTAAAGGAAAATTCTTAAGCTGCTTGTGAACTTGATCGACGCATAAGTGGAACAGAAAGAAAATACATTATATATATATATATATATATATATAAAATAAATATATTATATATATATGATAATCTATAAAGTATATATAAATATATGATATATATAAATAGCCAGGACTGATTTCTTCTGTAGGCGCATACCTCTCAGTGCTCCTCTCTCAGTGGCTCATGCGGCTGAGTGGCCCCACGGTACGGTCTCCTCTGAGTGCTCCTTTTCACACCTATATGCTAAAGACCTTTTTCACTGACCTATAGCTAATGACCTTGACCTCGCCTCCGAGACCACCTCTGCCCTCGAACCAGCCTACCCACGAGACCACCTCGCCCGCAACCCCCCCAACCCACGACCTCGCGCCCTCCTCCGGCGCCCCACCCCGCCCGCGCGCCGACACCGCCCGCTGCGCCCATCGGCCCGCACGTGCCCCCTCACGCCCGCCGTCGCCTGCCCGCGCCCTTCGCGCCCCCCACGCCACCGCGCCCCTCACGCCCGGCCGTCGCCCCCGACCGCACCTCTGCTGCGCCTCTGCATCGGTCCTCCGGTTCGCCCCTCACGCCCCAATTTTTTTCCGATTTTTTCAAATTTTTTTTTTTGATTTCATTTTCTATGATCCCTTTCTCCGGATCAAAGGTTGTGGGAGGGTTCCCCCTCCCACTTTCACCCCCATCCCAATTTTTTTTCGAATTTCAGTTTCTATTACTCCTCAACAAGTTTTTTGAGGTTTCCCCCCTCCCACAATCGACCCCCCCCATCTCCAATTTTTTCCCTCGATAATACCATAGACCCATCGCCTTGGATCAAGTTTTTTTTTGGGGTAACTCCCTCCTTCCACCCACAAAATTTCTCCTCCATCTCCTTGAATCAGGTTTTCCGATAATACAAAGACACCAATTCGCGATCAAGATTTTTGGATTCCCACTCTGGGGTATTAAAGCATTCAAAATGGACTCCCACATTGACCCAATTTTTTGCCTCGAAATACAAAGACCTCTACTTCCTTGAATCAGGTTTTCTCGATAATACAAAGACTCCAATTCCTCGATCAAATTTTTCTCGAAATCAAATCTCCAATTCAATCTCGGATCAATTTTTTTCTCGTTAATACAAGACTCCATCTCCTCGGATCAAAATTTTTGAGTTTCCCCCCCTCCCACTTTCACCCCCACCTCCCAAATTTTTTTGAAATTCCTTATGATCTCCATCTCCTTCGATCAAGTTTTTCTCGAAATCAAAGTCTCTCATCGTCCTTGGATCAAGCTTTCTCCTCCATCTCCTTGATCAAAGTTTTTCTCGATAATACAAAGACTCCATCTCCTCGGATCAAGTTTTTCTCGATAATACAAAGACTCCAATCCCGGATCAAGTTTTTGGATTCCCACCCCCTCCAGGGCAAGCGATTCAAATGAACTCGCCTCCTATGGCATGGTACTCTCATCGTACTACAGGTCTAAACAATGTGACGTCCACCCCCACATATTTTACTCGGCGGACAGCCGACGCACGTGATGACCTCACACATACAGGGGGCCCCCCCCCTTGAATCTTGTCGACTTCCCTTCCCCCCTATGTCATGACGTCAAGTGATGACCCCCCCCCCCTCACACAGGCTGATCATGTCGACTCCCCCTACACATTTTATATACAACATAGGGAAAACATTTTCACCTCCTTAACTCTGATAACCCAAATGATTTCACTTTTTTTTCGTTAACATACCTCACAATCAATCCACAAATTTCCCTTTACAAAATACAACACAATCAGACATTTTTCTCGTTTTAAAACTATTTCATCGCAGGTCACTCCCCACGAAGTAACCTTCTCTCTCCCTCCACCTCACCCTCTCGAACCCTCACACTCCAACCAACACCTTCACCATTTTTCACTCATAACCCAATTTTTCTCGTTTTAACTATTTTCATCAGAAAGTCACCACAACACTTTATAACCACTTTTTTTCTAAAATCCAAAAATGCAATAAAAATTTCCCTATCTTTATTAAATACTGTTCACATATATCTTCAAGTAAACCCCTGTCCACACCCCACCCACTCTAAAACCTCCTTGCTCATCCGCAATCCTACATTCTGTCTTACCTCTAATTCTTTCAATTATAACCCTACCGTACACTTTCCTGGTAACTCATAAGCTTATTCCTCTATAATTTTTACAGTCTCTTTTGCCCCCTTTTCCCCTTTTATATAAAGGACTATACATGCTCTCTGCCAATCCCTAGTACCTTCCCCTCTTTCATACATTTATAAACAAAAGTACCAACCACTCCAACACTATATCCCCCCTGCTTTTAACTTTTTTCTGTCATGATCCCATCAGTTTCCAGCTGCTTACCCCCTTTCATTTTACGTAATCCTCACAACCTCCCCCACACTTACATTCTGCTCTTCTTCACTCCTAAAAGATGGTATACCTCCCTGACCAGTGCATGAAATTATGCCTCTGTTTCTTCCTTAACATTTAAAAGTTCCTCAAAATATTCTCCCCATCTTCCCAATACCTCCATCTCCCCATCTACTAACTCCCTACTCTGTTTTTAACTGACAAATCCATTTTTTTCCCCTAGGCTTTCTTAACTTGTTTAACTCACTCCAAAATTTTTTCTTATTTTCATTAAAATTTTCTTGACAGTGGCCTCTCCCACTCTATCATCTGCTCTCCTTTTGCACTCTCTCACACTCTCTTTACCTTTCTTTTACTCTCCATATACTCTGCTCTTCTTATAACACTTCTGCTTTGTAAAAACCTCTCATAAGCTACCTTTTTCTCTTTTATCACACCCTTTACTTCATCATTCCACCATCACTCCTCTTTCCTCCTGCCCCCACCCTCCTATAACCACAAACTTCTGCCCCACATTCTAATACTGATTTTTAAAACTATTCCAACCCTCTTCAACCCCCCCACTACTCATCTTTGCACTACCCACCTTTCTGCCAATAGTCGCTTATATCTCACCCGAACTTCCTCCTCCCTTAGTTTATACACTTTCACCTCCCTCTTACTTGTTGTTGCCACCTTCCTCTTTTCCCATCTACCTCTTACTCTAACTGTAGCTACAACTAAATAAGATCCGATATATCAGTTGCCCCTCTATAAACATGTACATCCTGGAGCCTACCCATCAACCTTTTATCCACCAATACATAATCTAATAAACTACTTTCATTACGTGCTACATCATACCTTGTATATTTATTTATCCTCTTTTTCATAAAATATGTATTACTTATTACCAAATTTTTTTCTACACATAGCTCAATTAAAGGCTCCCCATTTACATTTACCCCTGGCACCCCAAATTTACCTACTACTCCCTCCATAACATTTTTACCCACTTTAGCATTAAAATCCCCAACCACCATTACTCTCACACTTGATTCAAAACTCCCCACGCATTCACTCAACATTTCCCAAAATCTCTCTCTCTCCTCTACACTTCTCTCTTCTCAGGTGCATACACGCTTATTATAACCCACTTTTCAACATCCAATCTTTATTTTACTCCACATAATCCTTGAATTAATACATTTATAGTCCCTCTTTTCCTGCCATAGCTTATCCTTCAACATTATTGGCTACTCCTTCTTTAGCTCTAAACTCTATTTGAAACCCCTGACCTAATCCCATTTATTCCTCTCCACTGAAAACTCTCCACCCCCTTCAGCTTTGTTTCACTTAAAGCCAGGATATCCACTTCTTCTCATTCATAACATCCACAATCATCTCTTTCTTATCATCTGCACAACATCCACGCACATTCAGACTTCCCACTTTGACAATTTTCTTCTTCTTATTCTTTTTAGTAATCTTTACAGGAAAAGGGGTTACTAGCCCATTGTTCCCGGCATTTTAGTTGACTTTTACAACACGCATGGCTTACGGAGGAAAGATTCTTATTCCACTTCCCCATGGATATAAAAGGAAAATTAATAAGACCAAGAACTATTAAGATAAAATCAAAGAAAACTCAGATGAGTGTGTATAAATAAATGTGTACATGTATGTGTAGTGTGACCTAAGTGTAAGTATGAAGTAGCAAGACATGCCTGTAATCTTGCATATTTATGAGACAGACAAAAGACATCAGCAATCCTACCATCATGTAAAACAATCACAGGCTTCGTTTTACACTCACTTGGCAGGACGGTAGTACCTCCCTGGGTGGTTGCTGTCTACCAACCTACTACCATATATATATATATATATATATATATATATATATATATATATATATATAATATATATATATATATAATGTTTGTGTGTGTGTGTGTGTGTGTGGTACTCACCTAATTGTGTTTGCAGGGGTCGAGACTCAGCTCCTGGCCCCGCCTCTTCACTGAACGAAAGCAACTAGTGTGTGGAGAGAGAGAGAGAGAGAGAGAGGAGAGAGAGAGAGAGAGGAGGAGAGAGAGAGGAGAGAGAGAGAGAGAGAGGAGAGAGAGAGAGAGAAGAGAGAGCTTTACTGCTGCCAATTATTACTAATAATAAGAATGATAATAGATTAAGTAGAGGCTCTGTCTGAGAAGGTCAAGGCTAGTCTCAGCATAAGCTAGTTTAGTAAAAGAACTAACATAACAATAAGTAAGCTACAGATAAAGAGGAAATGGTTAGCTGGGTTTAAAGGAGGTTTAAAGCCCCGTCCCCCCACACTAGGGGCATTAAGGAATAAATAACTTTTTCACTGCCCCAAAAAAGAAAACTTTATCCCTAAAATAAAAAAATTACAATTTTAAATTTTTGTAAGGGAATTGTGATTATCCAAAACTGTAAAATTGGGAATCTAAATAAACTTAGTTTTGAAATAATTTTATTGGGGGAAAGCCAGACAATGAGATTTACCCCGGGGGAATGTTTGGGGGTGCAAGCTTGGGCAAAATTTTCCCCTGAACTGAACACAGGTTTTATCAAAAACGCCCTTTTCCAAAAATCTTTTGTGGACCCGAGGGCAAAAATTGGAAAAAATTGAAGAGCAAATTAGACGTACATCTGCAGTGGAGGAATCTTCGGGGGCGAGCAGGTTAGAGGTACCCCCGCTGAGGCAGGATGCCCCGTGCAGCCTAAACCAGGGAGGGTTTTGGGTTTCCCCAAATACCCAAAACCCGTCACACGTCAACTCCAAGGGTTTTTCCCCCATAACAAATTTTTTTATAATTATTTTGCAAATAAAAAAATTTTTTATCATTTCCAAAGAAGATTTGTCATGCAAATTTTACATAGCAAATTAAAGCTCTCAAGTTTTTTAAATGAAAAAAAAATTTCTCAGGCAAAAAAAGTTAACCAACAAAAGGAACAAAAATGTGCTTTAACATTTGCACTGATTTCTCGGCTAAAAAAAGAAGCCCACCCCGGTTTTGATACTTTGAGGCCCATTGTTACGGTTTGGGGAAAGACACTCACCCTGGTTTTGGGTTGGGGGATTTTCCCTCGGATTTTTACTTTTATAAAATTTTAACACTCACCCAAAAGGGCTGGGACTTCACACCTTTAAAATCGAAAGGGAAAACCTGGACATGCTCCAGCAGTGGGGC